AACTCCACTACCAAAGAGAAAGTCATCGCTTCGGAAAGCACTTGCCCAACCATCAGTCGCCCAAAACCAATGAGAAACAACCGGGTAAACAAAACCGGTTAAGAAAGATGAATATATAAGATAAGCAACGAATTGGGTTCTTTCCGCTATTGAGCCACTGGTGATTCCAGCAGCTGCTATAGCAAAAGCCCACTGGTAAAGGAAGTTGCTATAATCCAAGGAAGAGGAAGAGGAAGGAATCGATTTTAAGCCAAAGTTGTGGCGGCCAATGAAGCCATTAGAAGGGGAACCAAAGGCAAAGGCGAAACCGAAAAGGTAGTAAAAGAGGCCACCAGTGGCAGCGTCAAGGACGTTTGTGAGCATGATGTTCATGGTGTTTTTGGCACGGACTGAGCCGGCACAAAGCATGGCAAAGCCGAGTTGCATGGAGAAAACAAGGTAGGCTGAGAAGAGGAGGTAAGTGTTGTCAACAGCAAAGGCAGAGTCACTGAACTTGTTGCATATGTATCCGGCTGCGGCGGTGGCGTTGGGGCCTAGGAGCGGAGCTAGGTCCGCTGTACAACTAGCCATGGCTGAAAGGGCAGAGAGGAAATGAAGGGAAAGAGAAGAACTAAGAAGGACAAAGCATAGAGAGAGTTATAGCAGCGACGAATAAGAGCAGATGCTTATATAGAGAAGACTTTGGGTAAAAGGTTAAGAAGGAAGACTTTTCCTTTTCACATCTTTGTGTGGTTCAGTGGCTGCTTTTGGTTTTAGATTTCTTTAACCCCAAAAAAAAACCCTAATTAATTATATTATTATTTTTTATTTTTAATCACAATGTGGGTCCCATATAGAATATTCGTTGTTTCTTGAATATCTTTTGCAGAATTATTTATATACCATCCTTATAAGAATCTGTTATAAACCTTAGAAAGAATTGAGTTATTGAAAAAAATTGAATTTTTTTTATTTTTTTATTACATTTTATTAAATTTTTATATTTTTATTTTATAAATTAAAAATATCACAAAAACAAATCTGTCATGCTGAGTAAATGTATATAGTTATTTTGGTAATTGGATTAGAAGCAACAATCATATCTGATGGTCGATTGATTTGATGTTTCAATTTTTGGTAAAAGATAGTAAATGATTTTATTGGGGCGAATTTAGTAAATACGCTGGAACCAGATCATCACAGTTGTTTTTTTAGGTGGCTTGACAGCTTTTAGCCCTGTGTCTCGCGACATGCATTCACATGCTGCCTTTGGTGAAGACCACTCATTTTTTTTACCTTAATTTGTTTGGTTGCTAGGAAAATTTTAAAGCTCTAAATTATTCTTGAGGTGGAAAAATTTGGTGGTAAATCTTTATCAAACGGTGGTGGAATCCAACATTGTGGCCTGTATCTTTCCTTCCTTGCATCTGTGTTTGATCTTCATCATGGTTAACGTAAGCAAGTCCTCCATGGCTTCTCCAGTCCAGCCAGTCATGTCATGTTCAGCTGAAATACTCTAATGGCCAAACCTGAGAAGAAATTAAAACAAGAATAAATTACCAAGAATAGCTTTTTTTATAAGTATATTTTTAAAATAATTATTAAAATAAATTTAATTATTTATAATTATATTTAATCATAATTTGATAAAAAATATTTAAAATTATTTTAAATAAATTAAATTATTCATCATAATTTTTCTCTATTTATGTTTTCGATTTCTCTCTCTTAATGTGCTTTAATGGGTGATTATTTTGAAAATTTAATTTTTAAATATTTTAGATAAAACTAAACTTGTAAAAATAATCAAAGATATTTGAAATAGTTTGTAATTGGATCAATTTGAAACTTAAACATCAATAAACTCAAAAATTTAAAATTTATAAACTTAGATTTTTAAATTTTTTTAATTTTTGGTCGAAATAAATGTTTTAAATAAGAAATTTTGTGTTTTGATTTATGAAAACATGTTGAGACCTTTTAATCAGTGTCAAATTGTTAAAAAAAATAAAAAAAGTTTAAAAAGATTTGAAGTTTTGGTTCGTAAATAATAACAACATTTTAAGTATTAAGGTGTAACAAATGTTTTTAAATATGACGTGTAACAATAATATTTTTTCAACATGTAATAATAATATTTTTCTTTTCAATATGACGTGTAATAACTTTTTTTAACTATAACGTGTAACATGTTCTTATGTGTAACAACCTAAGTATGGTGTGTAATATATTTTTGTACATAACGTGTAAGAATAGTATTTTTTTTTCAACATAGTGGGTAATAACATAAATATAACGTGCAACATATTTTTGTATATAATTTGTAACATCATAGTGTGTAATTTCGTTAAAAATAATTTTATCTAATTTAATTAAAAATAATTAAAATTATAAAAAATTATTTTTAAAAATATTTTATCTTTAAATATTATTTTCAAAAATGCCCCTTAAAACAAAGTATTGATTTGTAGCACTCACCCACCCAACAAGCTGCCAAGAGATTGGCTCCACCGCCCATGTACAAACCGTACCGAACCGGCCTGGTGGGGTTTACGTACTTATCAGAGGCCAACAGGCGTGTGAAAATTACTCCCCAAGCACCGCAGCCACCATGTAGTTTATCAAAACCAAGGCAGCCATGAACCAGCAGCTCAGGGTTTTACTGTAGAGCACCCTGAAGTTATAGCCGCAGAGCCGCCAAGCAAACCATTGCATACATCAGTCAAAATGCAATGATCAGTCATAACCCTTTTGGTAAAAATACTAGTCAATGCCGCCGTGCAACCGGCTAAAGTGGTCCCCGCCGTCCTTCCAACCGCACTCCACTACCCGTAGGAGTGCCCAGAAGAGTAAGCAGTCAAGATTTTGTTGAACGGACCCGGGTTGAAGCCATACTTACCGAACCAAAGCATGAAAGCGCCAAGAACAAGAAGGGTTGCACTATGGGCACGCAAGGCATCGGGCCAATTCTTGGTCCTTCAATAAGTGCGCCCCCTAAACCGGCCACCACCAGCTATACGAACGACCCCTCAACCGGCGAAGTCAATGACCCCACTACCAAAGAGAAAATCATTGTCTGTTTGAGAGACGCTGACCCAACCATCACTAACCCAAAACCAATGAGAAACAACGAAGTGGGTTCTTTGTATGGCAGCGCTGGTGATCCCATTAGAGAGGAAACCAAAGGCAAAGGCGAAACCGAAATGGTAGTATAAGAGTCCACCAGTGGGGACCTCTGTGAGCACGTCGGCATGATGTTCACGGTATTTTTAGGACGGACTGAGCCAGCACAAAGCATGGCAAAGCCTAGTTGCATGGAGAAGACAAGGCAGGCGCTGAGAAGACATAGTTAATTAAGGTTAGTGTTGTCAACAGCAAAGCGTCAGCGAGCTTGTTGCAAATGTAGTCAACTGCGGCTGTGTCGTTATGGCCTAGAAGCGGAGCTAGCTCCGCTGAACAAGTAGCCATGGCTAAAGGGCTGAAGAAGAAATCAAGGAATGTTAATCGAGCTGCAGGAGGAGGGAAGACTTTGTTTGGGGCAGTTGCCTTTCAGGAAACCGTTAAACAGATTGCTTCAATAATCAATTATCTGTAATGAATAACTCACCAGGAAGAATAAAAATGTCAAATTCATCTGTTTTCTTTTTAATTCCAATTTTTATTTTTCAGTTGTTGATGATGGACGTTGATCAGAGCACGTCCAATATTATAGAAATAGTAGACAGGATGCTTCAATTTTATATAGAAAATAATATTTTAAAAAAATTTATAAATATAAATACTTCATAATCTATTAAGTTAATTTGTTTTAAAAAAATGATAATCCCGTAACTCAAGCATGAAGGTCTGGTGTATCACCAAGATTTACTGTCAACTTGCAATATTTAAGAAATGCATGGCGGATTTCTTTAAACAAGAAAGTCATGATCTCATTACCACTTTGAACGAAGGGTATATTCATTAGCTTGACATCCAAATTACGCAATGAACTGTAGATTATTCATCAGCAAGTACTGGACTTTGGAGGGTGATCACATCATTCAAATTTTATTATTGTTCCGTACGCTAACGGCAATATTAGTTGACTAATCCCCAGAGGAAGCCAATTCGGAGAATACAAAAAATCCTAATAATCAAACCCAACAAGCTGAGCTGTACGTTTTTTCCAGGCCACATTATGTTTCCCACAGAAGGAAAACGAAACCCATATTGAATAATTCTTCTGGTCAGCATTTTCATTTTTTTCGGCTGTTGATTTTGCGATGATTATGCTTAGGATTAATAGTATTAAATCACCAAATTATTCATTGTTTCAAAGTCAGAGATATGTTTATCATATAAACAAATAATCTTTAATCATATAACTAGGCAGGGAGAATGCTATCATGCAACAATAACAGCATGCTGTCAACACCTGCAATGTAGACCATGCACTTGTATGAAGCACCCTTGATTGTTTAAAAAGAACATGACAATGAGGTTTATTTCTGGTTTGCGGCCACAATAAACATTATTAAATTCAGAAAAGAAAGAATGTTGTAGATATTTTAAGGAACTATAGCAGACTAGGAAGTCGATATCTTCAATCTTGCACGAAACATGAAAAGAAATGATGATAGCCTGCTCGTCATGCTTAGTTTTATTTTTTTAAAGTCAATATAATTTATTTATGACAAAAATTAATCTATCACTATCTTAAGACTCAAGCAGATTAAGAAATAATACAAAGTCAACTTCTTGAGATTGTACTACAATATTGAAACTCTGCCTCTGGAATCTCCAGCTAAAGATATACACCAATTAGACTGATTCACATTCAATTTTATATCGAAAAAAGTAATGAATGTGAAATGGATAGCATGGAGATTCCAAATATGCGCCAGATTCCATAGCTGGACATGGTTTTCATGTTCACATAGAGCTTAAAATGACAAGATCAAGAAAGACTCACGCAGCCAATGAAATCATGAGGATGTGCTATTTTCATATTATCAATTTGCATTTTACAAGAAAGCGAGTAATAGAAGCAAGATCAATTGAATTTTTCAAAATTGTTTTATGTATGAGTAGCCTACGCAGGATAATAAATTATCGGCTAAACAAGGAACTTAACTTTCACAGTTCAGTGTTTTCTTTGAATAAATTATCGGGTGGAGCCAACTTCCACTTGCCACTTCAGGAAATATACCGGATTGAAAAATAAGAAAACCTGGGGTAAGCCATCTACTCACTGTCTCCCTTCTAATTTTTTCTTCTGCTTTCTACGCTGGTCACGCAAACCTGGAAAAAGAGAACAACAAAAGGCTAAGATTGGTCTCTTGAAGAGAAGCGTGGCCAGGAAAATAGAAAAAAGGTTAAGAAAATATTACGTTTCTTCTCCTCTTTTCGTTTTCTCCTCAAGCTCTCCACATTTCTTCGCTTTTCTGCCATCTCTTTCACATCCATGTGCACCTGAGAGAGAGAGAGAGAGAGAGAGTGCACCCTTAGACTAAAAATGGGCCAACTATTCACTCAACGGTAAAGTTGATAAGCAATTGAGCACAAAGGCATGCTAGTGGGTTATCCATTATCATCCTGATTAACTGGATAGGATCTTTGTGTATCATGGTTTCAAACATCTCAAGCTAGATTTTATAGGATTCCCATGTCAGCCATTTCATTTGCACATCGACGTGACTTGTTACAAAATATAAAACTACTCTATTAATAGAAGGTTTCCTGTGAGTGTTACAGAATTGAAAAATAAAAGAAAATTAATCTTTAAATTAACTACCTCATGACCAGCATTCCGAAGTGCCTGGAGTGGTTCCATGCAATCTTGACCAATAACCATCAATTTCATTCTCTTGTTTTCACCTGAAACTAAGTTGCCGCCTACATTTTGCTTAGCCAATTCTTCAAATTGATGTTGTATAAGATGCGTAACACCAGCCTGGAAAAAAGGAGTATAAGCTGACAAAGTTAAAGCTTTCCCCAAAACTCTTCAATTCATAACCAAATACATAGTGTGTATTGCACCAGCAAAATTCATGAGATTAGAAAGTCTCTCACAAAATGTTCAGGAAATGAAGACCAGAAATACCAATCAAATGTCAAAGAAAAATGTTAAGAACTCACTGCAGCTGGATAGCGATGTGAAAATGATTTTGGACACAACGGTCGTGAAAGCAACAAATTGAGCTCCTGCACACACCAAAAAAAAGGTGAAGTCAGAATGTGAAGTCCATTTGTGCTTTAACTGAAACAGTTCAAAGGTTTAGTACAATAGTTATTTATTCATAGCAAGTTAAAACCTGCTGTAACTTCTTTAATTGATTGGAGCTGGCTTTCTTTTGCTTGAAATTGTTCACTCTTTCCTCCTCACTGTCATAATTCTCCATTACTAATTCTAATGACTCTGCACTCCGCTCCAACCAGCTTTTGTTTGCCCTTTCCTACAGGAAAATAAAATAAGTTTGAGAATGACCAAGAAATAGTAAAATTAAAATGGGAACAAATCCAATTCAGAGAAATCTAAACCAAGAAATAGGAAACAAAAAAGGAAAAAAAAATCAAGCAAACAACCAGCTAAAACCATTTCAAGCAAGACATGACCCAGGCAGAGACACAGGAGAAGACCAACCAAACCCACACACCACACTGTACTGGCTTGTAAGAAAGCTAAATTATTAAAATTTATATACCTGGGAATCCTTTCGCAAGATCTTGTCTATTTGGCGTGCTAGAGATAGACGCTTCATGACCTCCGGCAAGTACGAGTTCTCTAAAGGAAATTGTTTGATGCTTTCCTGCATATAAAGCCAATGCACTTGTAAAGATGTAAGTCAACTGCCAAACGCTAAATTTGATTTAACAGCTATTGCTCAAAGTAGAATAATAATATCCGAATCTAGTTAACTAAACACTTATATCAGCTTTTTCTAATTTCCCTTTCTACGATATGATAACAAAATGGGGAAAATCTAAAGAAGAATTGGGAACTTTTCCTTCAAAAATAGTACCTTAGCAAATGATTTGCACAGAGATGCAAACTTTGAGGAATCATTTGGAGAGATAAGAGCAATGCTGCACCCATCAGAAGAGGCCCTAGCAGTTCTTCCACTTCTATGTACATAAACCTAAAACCAAAGAACAATAATTAAAATTCAGATATAAAGACTAGAAAAACTTCAACCAAAACTTGTAAAAGGGTATTTCAATGTTGACCTACTTCTGCTGAATGAGGAAGCTGATAGTGGACAACAGTTCGAACACCAGGAATATCAAGGCCCCTTGCTGCAACATCAGTGGCAACAAGAATGCCATGTTCATTTGCACGAAAACGGTCAATGGCCTGCATCAAAAAGGGAACCAGTGGGCTACTTTCAAGAAAAACAAAAAGGCCAAAATTTGGGTAAAATATCAACAAAAAAGGTGAACACAAATTGCAAGAAACTGTATTGTCGGGAGGGGTGGGGGTGGTGTCACATGTTGATAAAGAAAAAGCCAAAGTCTTGATAATAGCTTGAGCATGCAACAGCAGAACATATCTTCGGAGCAGGCTATGTTAAAAGAAGAGTGTAATCAACTACAAATGCAGTCAGGGGAAAACAAACCTTCAAGCGAGCTCGCTGCTGCATCTGAGCATGAAGTGTTGAAACATTGATGCCAAGGATGCGCAAGAGGGAAGAAATATGACGCAAAGCTGCAATTGATGTACAGAAAACAATTGTTCGCCCTTCTCCATGAATGCTCAAAATGTAATACAAATAGGAATCTTTATCTTCTTCCCTGCATCTGCATCATTCATGACAAGGTATTATTCCACTAGAAGAAGATATTATTATCCTGCAAATGCAGACAAATATTACTCTAATTTCGAAAGTTGCATCTTTCATTTTTAATTATAAGAAAGCATAAGGAATATACAAGTAAAATGGCAATTAACATAGGCAATAGCAACATATCCATTCTCTTGTGCAATAAACTTCACCTATTATTTTGTCATAATCTTATGGTTTGAAAGAAAAAGGTATTTGATACTATTATAAGTGATAACTCATATTAAAAAAAAAAAAAAAAGAGAGAGAGAGAGGTAGAGAAAAGGAAAGGCAAGCAGATTATGCTGTAAAACATACCCAACATAAATTTTAACAAAAAGCTTAAAAGCTGCAGAAGAAAAGACGGTTTGAGAAGTAAGGGACTATTAAATTCAGTTTGCTTACTTCCATGCATAGCAAACAATCCATGCTTACAAATTCAAATGATAAAATTTAAGCATTAAATATCATGCTGTGAAATGATTAAATTGGAAGCGAACCTGCATTTGTGAATAAAAGCATTCAACAAGCAAGATGGTATAAGAAAAGTAAAGGACTTACTCAATAAAAGATTCCTCAAGGTTCTTTGCTAAAATTGATGCATTTGTCAGATCAATAATGGCAGCATTCGGTCTCATTCCTGCTCGCTCAGATAGAATTTCGATAGAATTCAGCCCCTCAGCAGGCTGCTTGGGTTTTAATGAACCGCGCTTTAGCTTCTTGCGAAAATCAGTAGAAAGTGCTAAAGTTGCAGAAAATACAAATGTTTGTCTTTTCTTTCTTGATAAGCTTGAAACTGTCACACAATTCTGTGTGTTTTGAGATTGTCCTTTGGTAACACCAGTGGTCATAGGAAGCATTTCAATAATTGACTGTAACTCACGGAAATGCCCCGCTTCAACCATTCGATCAGCCTCATCCAGCACAAAGAAAGACAATGAATGTAACTGCCAAAATAATAACGTCAGAGTAATGGTGCTTGACTTTTGACCAACACACATCATAAAAACAAGTATCGGTTGCTTCAAAAGAAAATTTGTCACAACTAACCTCAACAAGATGTTTTTCCCCCTCTGAGATAAGCTCCCATAATCTCCCTGGAGTTCCAACAATTATCTCAGGCCTTGTTTTTAATAGTCGTTCCTGCTTCTCTGCTGACATGCCACCCACAATAGGAACCACTCTAACACTGATACCCTTGGAAACTTCCTTAAGATGATCAGTAACCTGGAGAAAGAAAATAAATGTCCAATAATACTCAAACTTCCACTTGATTGAGTAAAATAGGAACACAAAACATCTTAAGCTCCTCCAAGCAGAACCCTTTTTCATAAAAATCAAGGTTAAGTTTAGCATTTTGATGCTCACAATTGCTGCAAGCTGGACGCTGAAAACAAGTATATAAAGTACCTGAAGCAACTCCAAGCCGAAATCCTTGTTATTATATTCTCAATTGAGCTTGGTGTACTTAAAAGTTCAAACACCAAATGCACAATTTTTTACGGTCTTCAACCAATAACATGCAGCATATTTCTCAACTATGACAATTCATGGAGTTAGACCCAAAGAGTTTAACAAATGCTCCTAAGGCTTGTGTACAATAACAGCAGTAGAGGAATGTGGGAAAAAGGGTTCTAGAAAGCTTTAGCATTGAGGTTTTAATGGACAAAACAAAACATTATTTATTCTTATCCAAACACGTAAGCAACTAAGATGGCCTATATGGTGTGAAAGGGCCTACTCTGTTGTTGTATACAGGCAACAGAGATAGCTGACAAAAACAACAAAAAGACATAAAGGGGTACCTGGACTGCAAGTTCCCTAGTAGGAGTGATGATAAGAGCTCGTAAAACACCTTTAGGAGCATACTTTTCTGCTTCCTCCCCCTTCTCCTCAATCATGTTTGCAGCTTTATCCCGTTCTTCTAAGAGACGTTGGAGAATGGGCAGGCCAAATGCTAGTGTTTTTCCAGATCCAGTTTCAGCAGCACCAATAACATCCTATCCCATAAACAAATTACCATCACTGTGAAAGAGATGTCATCATTGACCATGAAACACTTCATGAAAGATTCTACACAAACCTTCCCTTGATGAGCTGCAGCTGGAATACAAGCTCTCTGTATTGGAGTTGGTTCCTTGAACCCAAGCCGAGATATTGATTTCATAAGCAGAGGATGAAGCCTCAACTCATTCCATGCATAAAATTCAGAGTAAGCTTCAGCTTCATCAAGCATCTCTTCTTCCTCATCATCTTTGCTGTCACTAACTGCAAATACATTGACTATTGATATAATTATGTTGATTAAACTAGTCTAAAGCACACCAGCAGCTGCTACTTACTACTGCATAAAAAGCTTGAGAAGAGATATAATCGTTTTAGATTAAGCTTAATATTGTCTCAGACAACAAACAGGGGATTAAAAAGTAGGAAATTCCAGGTAATTAAAGCAGTCTTTACCAAATTAGACACTCTGAGAAGTATAATTAGTGCACATAAGAATCAAATACATAAAGCACTAACCAATTGTAGATTCCTCTTCTTGTTGAGCTGTCTTTGCCTTTCTCTTCTTATTCTTCTTTTTCTTTTTTTTAGCCTTCGCATTCTTCTCTTCAGCCATTTCATCTGCAGGTTCAGCTTCAACATCTTCAGCGGGACCCTTAGTGACTTCATTTAGTTTCTCTTCCTTGGATTTTGATTTTTTATCAGATACTTTCTTCTTAGGTCCAGGTACGTCTAAACCATAATTAGCTTCGTCAATCTCTTCAAGGGAAAGAAAACCTGCGTTCATGTTAATCAACAAGAATCATGAACTAGGAACAAGCTAATTTCTCACTGAAAACTAAGCCAAATAGCTACCTCATAGAAATTAAACTGACAATAACCAAAGCTCTAAACTTTAACACAGGAAACATTAATTTTAACAAAAATAAAAAACGAAGATGGGATTTTCGCTTTTTAGAAGGCTAACCTCCATCAAGGTCCCCAGAGCCAATGAAGAGAGAGAAAGTGTCATCTTCTTCTTTGTCGCGAAGAGACGAGTTCCACGGGAGTGAGTCAAGTCGTTCGAGTTCTGGGTCATGTACTCTTGTCTTTCTCTTTTGCTTTCTCTTCTTTGAAAGTGAAGCCGATTCTTGTTGTTGTTGTTGCGGCGGTGACACTGTCGCCATGGCTGTGAGGCTTCTGTGTTTTGTCTGCTGAAAAAACGGGAACAAGGTACTAAACAACGCTGGGAGAGATTTTGCCTAGCTTTTAAGGTTTTATCCTTTTATAAGGTCGTTTTATGCCTTGCGCTGTGCCGTTTAACTATAACCCCTTTCCATTTTTTTATCTATAAGAAAATTGTTTGAGCACTTCCTGCATAAGAGTTAAATATTTATCACATATCATTTACCAATTTATTTATTTATTACTTTATAAATATTCGTATTTATAAAATATATCACAAAATTAATTAAAAATAATGAAAAAAATTTATTTTTATCTTTTTATATTAAAAAAATAAAATATTTAAAAACTTTCAAAGTTATTAAAGAATTCAAATAAATAATTATTCTTATATTGCATTCAATAAAATCTTTTAATTTTTTTTTATTTAAATAAAATTTTGTAATCAATGATTAATTAGTTAACATTAATAAAAATATTCACTTATCATAAAAATTTATATAATTTAAAAGAAAAATATAAAAATTTAATATAATAAAAAGTAAATTAAATTTTCGAAGTGTAAAAAGTGAATCCGACAAACATTCCGTCCGGTCATTTCACCACTCATTGCCCACCAAAATCCAAAAATCGAAGAGTACATTGTCAAATATACCTTTGCTTCTCCAATCCCGATGCCCTCATTTCTCTCCAAATCCTTCCTTCGTTTGCCCCCCAAATCCCCTCGCATCTTCCGCCACTCTCCCATGTCCACTCTCCCCACCAAACGTCGGCTCCGCGGCGTCGTTTTCGACATGGACGGCACTCTCACCGTCCCCGTGATCGACTTCGCTGCAATGTACAAGGCTGTCCTCGGTGACGACGAGTACAAGAAGGTCAAAGCTGAAAACCCGTCCGGGATTGATATTTTGCACCACATTGAGAATTGGAACCCCGATAAGCAGCGAAAAGCTTATCGGATTATTGCTGATTACGAAAAACAGGGCCTTGATCGCCTCCAAATCATGCCTGGTTAGTATTTGGTTGCTGGGAAAGTGAAAGGAAATTGTTAGGTAGAAAACGGTAGATTTAGGTTTCCGAAGCATGCTACTTTCTTTGAATTGTGATATGATTTTCCTTTTAAGACTCCAATCTGAAGACATTCTTGTTTTAATTTCTAGTGTTAGGATTGAGTAGGAAAGATATCCTTTCGAGGGAATCTGCTGAATGGTTTCTGTGTTTTATGGTTTGGTTGAATCAGTTAGTTTCTACTGGAACAGAACATGGTACTCCTCCATTTTTTCTGCAAAATTAGCTGATTGATTGTTCTACTGGAACAGAACATGAAATACTGTTCATGCAAGATTCTATCACCGAACTGGGTTTAAGATTATCCTTGGCAAGCTACTTCCTATGCTTTGTTTTTGGGAAAATCTGGATGTATTTCATGTGTTCTCAATAGTTTCAAGGTAGCAAATGTTTGGGAGTAAATTGCTGGACCTGGTGTTTTGTTTAATTTCTTTGCATTAGATGTTTGCTTTGGAGTTACCTTTATTCTTGCTGGGACTCTCCCTTTTGTGCTGAGAGGGAGTGTTTTTGGTTAAAAATGTTCACCTATGATACTCACTTTGAGCTAAATAGCACTTAATTATTTGCCATCTTACATGCTAATTGATTTAAGTCGTGACATTTGGCCGATAATTGTGCAGGTGCAGCAGAGCTTTGTGGTTTTCTTGATGCAAAGAAAATAAGGTGAAGTTCAAGAATCCTTTAGTTTAGTGTTCTTTTTCCTCCTAATACTTGTTTATCTTTCATATACAGATTACTGTATAAGACATGGTATAGATGGCTGCGGGCATTATAGGCTATTATCTCACACTAGATCACTGATTTTCTACATATGTCCCATGTGGCAGCTTGACCTTTGGCTGATTTATATGTCTACTTATGACAGCTGCACTACTTATTCTTAATAGCAGATAGTTTTGTTAGGTTTCATTTTGCTGTCTTGAAGCATTTAATATACTAGCTAAATGAAATTAACTGGCATGTTAATTGTTTGCTCCTAACAGTACTTTCATGCTTGGATCTGCCAACTGTTTTTGCTTTCAAATCTATTGCATTAAAATCTAAATATTTTCTGGATGTCCCTTGTTGAGTAACCTTTTCTTCATAATGTTTTTAGATGCTAACAAACTCCTTCCATTTCTTTCAGAAGGGGACTAATCACTCGCAATGTCAAAGAATCAGTTGATCTGTTTCATCAACGGTTTGGGGTAAGCTATTTAAAGTGTGAAATTGAACTTTCCTGGACATTTTGTTGAATTGGGGGATTGAAATCTCACTTACATGTGTTGTCTCAGATGATGTTTTTTCCAGCACTCAGCAGGGAGTTTCGTCCTTATAAACCAGACCCTGCTCCTCTGCTACATATCTGTTCTGCTTGGGAAGTTCAACCAAATGAAGTTATGATGGTTGGTGATAGTCTTAAAGATGATGTGAGTGTTTCTTCGCCAGCAACAACAATAAACAAAGAACAAATATAATGGGAAAAAAGGAAGATCATGTAGCTCTTTTTTCATCTTCATGGCAACTATGTTGCTTTTGCCTTCATGCACATGTTTGTTGTGGTTATGTTGCATGCAATTCTTTGGGATATGCATCTTTGATATGATATTTACAAACTATAATTCTTGGGGGAAAAAGGGAAACAAGAAAGTCTTGGACCATCTCATTTTACATGGCATTGCCTCTCAGGGCAGCTGCATGCAGAACTCATATTTACCATTTTAGACTATTATGACTGTGGCAAATGGACTCTGATTAGATATATTTACTATTTGCAGGTGGCTTGTGGGAAACAAGCGGGAGCAGTTACATGCTTGCTTGATGAAAGGGGGAGGTATATCTCTCAAGATTTTGCCAGATTGGATCTAACACCGGATTTCAAGGTGTCTTCCTTAAATGAAGTTTACTCCCTTCTGGAATCCAGTTTTGACCTCACACCCTGATTTCCAAGTCCATGGTTGATAAATGGTTTTATACTTCATGGAGTAGCTGATAGTTGTGCTTTATCTAGTGAAAATCCTACACTAGATAAGATAGCTT